TCAATTTTAATAATTCCACGATGGATTAAAAATCCATTTATTCCTACGTAAAAGTGTCTATTTCTCGAATTATGAAGGATCTTTTGTGCGCAAAATTTCACAAGGTCGAATAAATAAAAAAGCCGTCTCCTTCATTCAATTTTAAGTTGCTTTAACTTTGTTTGACGGAATCTTAATTTGAGGGTTGGTTGCTGCGATACGTAATATCAAAGATTAAAAAATTGCGACGATCAATGACGGTCTCCCACGATGTATTATTATCCGTGAGAAAATTCGCTCGAAATTGCTCGAAGGATCCATCGTTCAAATTACGAGTAATGCGATATTCAGTGTAAAAGAAGAAAACATTGAAATAAAATTGATTCGCGAGGGACCGAGTCTCAGCGCATATTCTTAAGAATATATATGGCATAAAATATCTCTATGAATTAAATTCTTGATAAATTCGACGTCGGAAACTATTCTAAAAAAGTGAATGTTGACGAAATTAAATTAAAGGGAGAAAATGCGGCGCTAACTCGAAATCAAGTATCTACACCGGAGAAGTCTAAAGGATCAGATGTAAGTTAAATTATTATATCCAATTATCCGCGTCATTTAATAGATCATTTTTGGAGTTACCTAACGACAGTTTATTTATCATGAAAACTTCAACTTTCATTTTTCCACAATAAGACTTTGATTTTTCCTCGCCACTTTTTAAAGAAAATTGTTGAAACACCATTTATACATTTATCCGATATATCCTTCTATCAAAATAGCATATAAAATTCGCAAAATAAAACCCTGGGAACCCACAAGCACATGGTCGAAACTTGAGGGTGTCGTAACGACGACGTGCGAGCCCCGGTAGTCCAGCGTTAAAAATGTGCTTTTAAAGATCCACCCAGTGCTGCTGCTGTTAATAAAGGAGCTAAGACAATGGGGCAGGCCGGCGCAAGAGCAAAATAAATTGAAGGTAACCCCAGCGGTGCCACCTCGCTTCCGTTCACGGTAGGGCGTCGAGTTCTCGAGCTGACTGTTCCGTAATTAGTGAGCGTCTAAACAATACTCGAGCCACCCTGGAGGGACTCCACTCTTTCTCCGTCCTTCCCTCGCCGGAATCGTCGATAATTAATTACCCCCTTGCAGGCGGCCGTGCAGATTATCATTCTTCTTTCGCGCCTCTTCGTCCGCCCTCTCCTTCCCTTCCCTCCTCAAACATCGACCCTAATTTCAGACGTTTACGAGATCTTCCCTATCGCGGCTCGTATCTCGGCGAGATAATGGCTCGTTGCCAACGATTCCGGCTGGGTGGATAAGGGCGGGTAGCCACAGGCCACTTTATAGTTTGAATTTAGTCATCCTTGTATCGTCATATTCCCGTCAAGGATGCCAGTTTACGAGGAACCGAGAGGGGATGATAATCATTTTTTTTTAATATGATCGTTCACTCGTCGGAAGCAGCACAGCTTTCGTGCAATTACTTCATTACCTTCATCAAAACTTTGGAAGCAAAGCGTCCGTTTTATGTTTTACAAAGAGCGCAATTCAAAAAATACGTTAATGGGAGTTTTACTCGGAAATATTCCAAAATTAATCTGTTAATAAATTTGAAATGTTAATTTGTTTCCCACAATTACAAGATGTGTAATACTGTATTTCGAGATTCAAATATAATGAAATAGCAGAATTAACATCGGACCAACATTTCGGTTACCTCGATGTAATGGATGAGAGAAAATCACTTCACATTTCGCTCGGTGCGTGCAAACGTACCTTAAACTGAGAGAGCAACACAAAACCGATATTCGACGTGTATCGAAGTGGAGATTGGTCTAGAGAGAGCGCGCAGAGTTCCGCCGTTATGAATATGATTAAACGTCGCGATTAAATGCGCGGGACAGAAGCGCTCGTTAGCATACTTTGAAAGTCTTTAATTGCGACCGGAAGCTCCGCCGGAAGCTCGCGGTCAGGAGCGTATAAACAATATTTGCCGGCTAAATAAATAGCAACAAATACGCACGAACTAAACATTATTAACAAATATCGCGTTTAATCTTTCCGCGAAAAGGATAATTATTTTCTACAAATTATGGTGCGATTCCAGTTATCGGAATTAATTTTGCTAAACGAGGATATTTTTTGATACTCTCGATTTTTCTTCTTCGATTATATTACTCTTTCGACATCGATGTAAAAAGATATATCCGTGAATCGTAAAAATTATATCCTAATATTTATAAATAAAACATTGTATTATTATAATATTTTAATATAAAATTATAATCCTAACATTTATCCAGCTTCCTCCCACATGAAGAAGAAGGATTGGTTAAATTAACGAGAGCCGAATTTAGTTCTTATAAACCAGAAATTCGGATTTTCTCAACCAAAACGCGCGTTAATTCAACCGATCTTTTTTTCTCCATGTAATATTTCAAAGCTTTTGCCGCAGATATCCCGATCCTATAATGATGTTAGAAGCGAAAAAATAATGCTGTTTCACAAATTGTTCGATCGATCACAAGTGTCATTTTGTGGGGATATTTTTTTTTATTTCAACGCACATTGTAAAACGTGTATTCTCTCGTTTCATTAAACAGAAAGACCGTGGGAAGCGCGACCCTTAATTTTGAACTTTGTCAATGCTTTGTTCCGTTCGACAATTCCTCGCTTGAAATAGTTCGCGAAGCAAGTCGTGTTTCATTAATATTTATCGTTTGCTTTTGGAAATCAGAATATTTCGCAACAAGACGGCGTCTTACGACGTAATTCAAGGAGCATTACCCGCTCGGTTTCGCGATCGTGATACGCTACGTCGCTTTGACGTCAGTGATTAAAAAAGTTAGTGTGCGCGGTTAAAAGTTACAAGAATGTTTTATCCGGCAATTTTCCGGTCTGGCGGGCGGACGGAAGGTCGAGCGGACAGACAGGTCGGATGTGAAGACACTCGATGGAAAACCGCGAAGTTCCAGTCGGCTCCTTTTACGTGTTACGAAGTTACTGTTGGCAGACCGTTGCCTTTCGTCGATCTCTCGAAATGTTCGATAACTTCTTCTTCGAGGGCGCATCCCGAGGGTGCAGCCTCGCGGACATCCCCCTTCCTTTCTCCCTCTCTCGCTCTTTCCGATGTCTCAAAGCTTAACGAAATGGAAACAATATTGACTCGCAAGTCTAACTGTGGAGAGCTTTGTATCGAGACGATATTGCATTCCCCCCCCCCCCCCCCCTACCTATGCGATCCACCCGCGCTCCGTCGCTTCATAGATTCCGCGCGTGACACGGAAATACTTGGTCGAGAGAGATTCGCTTTTACGAAGCTTTAGGTACTCCCACGTTCGTCTATCGTCTATGAATTGGTTTACATAAAACATATTTCGGGATCTAATTTAGACCTCCCAGTGAGAAATTTTTAATTCTATGTTAAATCTTCAAATAGAAAAAACAGAAGTAACTTCTCATTTCTAATGAAAGACCTTTGAAGACTTGATGCAGCACTAAATAGACTTGATATAGAACTGTAATTTCGTCCGACTTGTGATTATTCCATATTTGAAATTGGAACAAGCCTCTCGATTATGAATCGCGAGCGATGTCACATCACCGAAGGCCTCACTCGATATCGTCGAGGAATATAGATGCGCGTACATTTAAATATCGCGCAGTCTTGCGGATCCTGCAGCACAGGCAGGATAATTAATGTTAATTAATTAGCGCCATGCCGATATTAATTTTAATCGACACTTCGCCGTCGACCGAGGGTGGGCCGTCGGTTTTGTCGATCCGGCTGCGCGTGTAGTCTGTAATGAAACGACCAGCCGGTGCCTAACGACGAAACGTCGATTAAAATTAAGCGTGCTATGTCGGTCCCTCGTGGGATTAACTTTCTAACCGGCGGAATCGCGTCGTCTGTTCCGTGCGCGGAACAAAAGTAGCCTTCAATGGCGAGAACTTTTCAGGCATTGTTATCGCGACTGCTAGTTGAGGTTCTCTCTTTCTCCCTGGCGTGCTCGCGCTATCGTAAGCGCTCCACCGCGGATGCGAGACATTACCGCGCCGCACTTTTCGGAATTGCACGGAAGAGCAAAATAATTCTTCTGGTTCCTCCTTATCCCCATCTCGCGATCGTTCTCTCTCTCTCTCTCTCTCTCTCTCTCTCTCTCTCTTTCTCATTCTCTTTCCTTCCTCCCCGCGATGTCGTTCCCACAGATTGCTTCTCTACCACGCGTTGCTCCGCTATTTCGCTCGCGCGAAAATAAATGACGTTACGAGGAAGCTGGACGTCCGGTCGCCTGCTTTATGTACGCGCTATTCATCCCTCAGTATAATAGCCACGATTTCCTTCGAGGAATTTTTCTTCGCAAGGGGAGCAAGGCAAGACGGATGAATTCTCGCTTTCTGACGAGTCTTAATCACGAGAAAGCTTCTTAAAATACGAAACTTCGCACGAAGCCAGTGAGTCGTCGTTCTATGAGGACGACTCGATATGGGAATTAAACGTGATGAATAAGCCGTCAACTTTACCGGAATATTTTCAACGACTCTACGAAGCTTCGCACTTGAAAGCCCTTCGGATACCCGAAAAGCTGTTAAGACTTCACGGGAGTCTCATGAAATTCATGTAAAACACACGAAGAGAATTTTATAGCAAAAATTACTATAAAATATTTTAACCGAGCAGTACATCGACATTTTTCTTAATTTATTATCTCTTTCCGTTTCATATATGCGCTATTTATATTAATTTATTTTAGTAGAATCGATGATTATTTTTAGGAAAAACCCATTGTTAAAAGTCTATTGTGAAAAATATTTACCAAAAATGTTCGATGTTTCTTAATGAGGTAAACTCTACCACTCAGTCTACCTCTGCACTACTGAAGAAATTGATACAAGATTGAATAGAATTTATATAAAGCAAACTATAATATTCTCTCCATTTGTACAATCTTCTAAATCTCCATGATCACCTACAAATTGCAAGGCGACGCGCACAACTAAATCTGTCGTAAACTTACTTCTATTCGGAAGGTCCATCCCTCCAGACTGAGCAGCTTGAGGGTCGTGTTCCTGGCGAGAGCGTGGCACAGTAGCCTCGAGAGGTGATCGTCCAGGGCCAGTCGAGGACTAGACAGGTCCAGCAGCTGGAGACACGGCGCTTCTGTCAAAGCCAGCACGAGAGGCATCACGTCGGCCGGTCTCGACGCTCCGGCGGCCCTCAACGCGTCCAAATTGCGGGCTCTCCTGATGGTCTCGCCTAAACAGCCGGCGTCCAAGCCGCCCAGGAGGCACTTGGACACGTTCAGAGACCTCAGTTTGCAGTTTGGCTCTCTGAAGCGCGCAAATAAAAAGGCGATCGATTAGTTGGACTGCTTTGCGATACGAAGAGAGGAGCGGATAACGGGACGATGTGTGGAAAAAAGTTGTCAAATATTGTAGGAAGAAAAAAAACACGTGGAAAAGAAATCTACCAAGAGAAAAAGATTTCGTTAGATTTAGTATGCCTAGTATTTCTTTGACTCTTGGATTTATTTGATATAAACAACATAATTTAATGTCAAATATCATTTTGTTTGATAGAAAATATTTGTTTCATTAAACCATGTTGCATGATAGGAGAGACCGTATTGTCTTGAGGAAATAATATTTGGTTTTCAATAAAAACAATTGATTTCATTGTACATGAGATATTGTTCAATGAAACAAAGAATATTTTTCTAACATTCTGTTATTTTTTTCAAATAATTTATTGTATGTGCCGACCGTTGTAATATTTGGATGAGAATACAAAAGATATATGTTATTTGACGTGAAGATATTTATTGTTTGAGAAGCCAAATAATCGTGTTTGTTGAATTAAACATTCATTCAAAGATAAATTTATTTCAATTAGAGAAATTTTATCAAAGAAATCTCTTTCTCTGTGTAAAAGCTTTCAGAATTGCAAACTCAATAAATATCGTAAAAATTACTAATTACTTTTCTTTCTAATTAATTCTTAATTCTAGAAGCTAACTAGTGTAGAACATCGTCTCGTACATTTGTAACCAGGAATCGCATTTTCGCAATATAAATTTTCGCATTTCGAAAAATAAATCCGAGAACTTTTGGCATTGCAGCGAAATCACAGATACATTCGAACAATTATTAATCGTATCGGGTCTTTTTCTTTCTATTGAAAAAACAACCAACGGAGCGTATATTTGTATTATTTTTGATCGTGCGCAAAGTTCGTAGTAAGCAGAACCATGAGGAATGGTGTCGCTCGCTCGTTTTATTTGACTTCGATGTCGGGCCGAGAAAAATAAGTGCCGCCGGATCGGGCGAAAGCAGAAAAAGATTTAATCGAATGAGCTGATGAGGCAATAATCATTTAAGATTGATGGCAGTCCGTCCGGACAAGACTTCGCCGTTAACTACGAGACAGAGAGAGAAAGAGAGAGAGAGGGAGGCGAATGCCTAACGGCGATCTTCGTCCCGAATCTCATCTCCGTTCATCAATCTTATAAAGGGAGAATGGCCATCTGCGACGACGAGACGAAGCTTACGGGCATACGTCGAGTCGCGAAAAAAGTTTTAATGCTCTTTTTGCGCGAGTTTTTCCAGCTGGATTTTATCTCGACATGGCATATCGCGTCGATGTTGGCACACACGTTGCATGGTTCCCGCATATAACTTTGCAATATTTTCGGTATATCATCTTTATTCACGGCAAGTATAAATATTCGCGGCAAGATGTATGCGATGCGATGAATTCTTTAAATTTTTTTGAGCGAAGTTTATTCGAAAAGTAAAACGAGTAACTCGAATGATTTAAGTATTTAGGATTGCTTAAAATTGTCGAATAAATATTTTCATTCGAAACTGAAGAGTGATGTGTTCCATCGGGACGAATTCACTTTGAGGTAATTGTGTGATCCGTAAATTTATTTTCTTGGGAATTTTTACAAATTTTAACAGTATATTAATCGAAATAAGATTACACAAGACATATGCAAAGTTAGATAAAGATTGACCCAAGCTGAGATAATTGAAGTCAAAGTTATTTATATGTGCTTACAAATATGAAAGCGGCTTCTGATATCACATTTTTAATTCCAGAGACCGAACTATTCTTACGATTATTTTAATGAAAAACGAAAAAACGGGTACAGAATATTCGTCTATCGGTACATATGATACAAACATAACACTGACAGTTCCAGCTAAAAATAATATACGTTAAAACGCGATTGTTCTTTTTATACATTTTTAAACAATATGTAAATTTGATTAATATTCTTTCGCTATAGTATCAAAGCTGTATATCACAAATCATATTTATAAATATACATATTTAGCAAAGATTTTTCGAGCTTCATCATGTTAACCATTACCTAACAATATTGTCACGGATCAACTACCTTAATCGAATTGAAACGTAAGGAGTTGAAATCCGCTCTAAGCTCATTCACTCTTGCGAGTGACGGTATTTTTACTACTGCTTCGAGTAAATTTCCGCTCAGTTTGTCCTTCCCAAGAAATTTCGAAATTAAAACACACCAACGTCCGACATTGAAACGCGCAAAATAAAAAAAAAGTTCAATTACATTACACGTAATTTCGTCGAGCTTCCGCTTATCTTTCGTCTCGCGAGAGAAAATTTCGTCGCTTCATCCTCTCCCTCGATTTTAGTTCGACTTGGCGAAACACGCGATTAACGCGCGCGGACTCACGTTTCTCAAACGTAATCCCGCAGCGGGATCGATCAACGTCAGGACACAACGAACATAATGAGCAAACACAGGGAGCGGCGCAACAAACGCTCATACAACGCGTAAGACAGCGGCGTGCCGAATTACAAGGCGAATAATCGACTCGGGAATTTACGCGCGCGTACGTGCGTTTAATGGTGGCAATTTAAGACGGACGATTGTGTCTGGCCCGAGTATCGCGTCTGGATTTAATGCTATCTACTTTGGACCATATTTACTCTCGGCTATATTGCCGCCGCTATGTACGTGGCGTTGCCTTTAACGGTAAATTCGTTCGCCTGGGAAAGAGAGAACGCGGGCTCTCTCTATGGGAACAAAAATATATACCCGAGCGAGACCGTACCCGTGCCGCGAATTCCCAACAAAAATAAACGTCAGGCTTGCGTAATAAAGCTGGATTTCGGCGAGGATACACCGGCCGAATTTCTTACGGCTGTCGCATTTATACTTCGATTTAAAGCGCATTCTCCTTTCCGCTGACGATCGCCCGCTGAATTATCGCCGCGCTTTTTGCCGTCTGAAGGGGATAAAATTAATTGCGGTTTGATCGATTTTGTCTAACCCGGGGATGGAATTAGCGAAGATAATGAATATGATAGAGAAAAATGTTACAACAGCTGGTTCTACCAAAGAAGAAGAAGCTCTAATGCTATTTGAATGTTAATGTAATTAATATTATTTGTGGGAAGATACATGTAAGTCTAAATTATATTAAACATTTATTCTCGACATAATATTGCATGTCGCAAACGTCCAGTTTTGCACCTTTTTCAACGTGTTAACACACAGCTAGTTCCTATGCGGCAGATCGTATGAATTGCGAGACTTTTAAAAAACGTTTCGCAGATGAATATAAATAAGTACGGAGACCCATTGTGGGTGTTGCATACCGGGGAAGGGTTTATTTGTTATAAATCGATTGAGCCGGCAATTTTTCATCATGAGACGACTTCCAGGACTTGTGGAAAGGAACAAATTCCGCTGGAATAAAGCGATACGTTTCCAGGTTGCATTATGGCTCGCGTTTCATTTTTCGCGGCTTTATTCGCGACCGGTTATTATTTGGGAAGAAACGATTCATAAAAATACACGGGATTCTTTTCCTCGATTCGTATTATTTCACCCGGCGATATGATTCTTTCAAATTGCATCGGAATCGAGCGTGCTGAATATGAAACTGGAGTTACGCTACGAACGCGTATATATTCATCTTTTTTTACTTCCGCCGCGCTTGATGAAAATCATAGGACGCATCAATTTTATAATGCAGATTCATTCGTACGTCCATTTCCCATATATGCGTCAGCTGGTATTTTTCCTCTACTAATCAGTTGTTTCCAAGATCGCTCCCCTTCCCCGTTTTCGCGTTAAAAAAAAAAAAAAAAAGTTAAAATGAGCCATTTTTACATCGAACGAGGTAGCACCCTTAAGAAAAGGTGAAACCTGATTTGGAAAAAATGTTTGTCACAATCCCCGAAAGACTGAAACGCCTTGTATAACACTGCGTCGCAATTGCGGAACGTGTCGCGACGCGAGAAAAGGGAGTATGGAAGCGTTTGGAATCGCGCGGATAAACCCCGGAACGCAATAGAGCCGCGACTGTAAGTCAAACGGCGGTATTGCGCGCGGATGGCGCTTAAGTTTCGACAGTTTTACTGGCTGGGATTTTGCCGGCGGTACGAAGCTGGGAGAGAGAAAAGGGAGAAGCGCGGTTTAAAGGAAATAGAGCGCATTTTTACCAGAGTTAACTCCTCGCCCCCGGCTTTATCGCGTCGCCTTTTATTGCACGCCGAAGTTACTCGGCTTATAAAGAGCACGATACGCTCGCCTCATCGGAACAAACATCTCGCGACAATTGCGAAGTATTAATTTGCCGACGGGATAACGCGATCTTCGGGCCCCTCTCTAATCATCGTCATCGCGCCGTTGTAAAACCGCGTTGTAATTTCTTTTCGTGACGTTGATAAGCGCGTCTATTTTCCCGCCGAGATTTCATGAAACTGTATTACATTCCCCGGGTAAAAAAGATATCCGAAATTTTAACTCGCATAATTCACGAATGTTCAGCGATTTGCATTCCTCGGCGAGAGAAACCCGAGGAAATTATCTTGGTTTATGCTCGTCCGAATTCAACTGGAAGATGTGACGTTAATTTCACTCCGGTCGTCCGTAATTTCAAGTATAATTTAAGTAGTTTATTAAGAGCGTAAGGAGAAATGGCGCGTTCGATTACAGGTCAGCAAGTTCTGCAAGATCTCTCTTACTTACTCACCCGGAGGAAAAGCGAATCCCGTGAAAGAAAAATGCTTAATCGCGTTGCGGAATATTTTCGACTTCATCTCATCCCGCGATTCTCTCGCGAATCTCCGTACGACTTGAGAGACACTCGGTTTACCTCGACATCTACTGACGTTCTTTGAGATGTAACGTCGCTATTTAGACCACGCCTGTGTTTATTCACGACTGCCATTGGATTATTGGAGAAAGTGTCGCGACCAAAAGAAGGGGATAAATCCGTCCTTCGATCTTGAGAAACGCTAATAAAACGGCCGGCTTCTCGGGAGAATCGTCTTTTCAATTCCGAGCGGAAAATTGAAATCGATGCGTACCATCCACCCACGAGAAAGTAACGGTGCTAATTCGGATAAAAGTCCGCGACAGGCCTCCTCCATAACTTTCCTACTAGACGCATTGAAGCGGAAGGCGCTAAAGGGCCCCCTTCTTTATTAGACGATCTTTCGGCGCTTATTTCTCCGACACTTGCAGGTTCTCCAAATTTCAAATAGTATTTCCGCTTCAACGATTAAATAAACCGAAATATTTAACCAAAAGGAGAAAGAGCCTATAAGACCCAAAGTGAAAAGTAAATTAATAATTGATATAGGAATAATTTCAAGAATTCGAAAATGAAACGTTTGTCATTATTTTAAATGAGTTATTCACATGTTACAACTGTTAATTTATATTTATTTATGCAATTTTTATTAGCTCTGTTTCTTAATTTTAGTTGGATTTTTCAAGGATTATGGGAGCCATGTTTTACTCTCCTATCAATAATCAATTGATCAAATTGAAAATATTATATTCCCAGTCATTTATTCACAATAATTAAGAGCAACGTTCGGTCTTCTCTACAGAAAAATGATTGCTTCGTATTGTTAAAATCTACGCTGCCATAGATCAAACGGAGAAATTGAGAATAATCCGTAGAAGATTCGCCGGAGTCTCGTGCGATTCACTGGACCACTGTGGACATTATCGTGGTTGAACTTTTTTATCACGAGCTTCCTTTTTCTCTAATCCCGAGAGTCCTGTCTCTTATCACGAGCAATGTTGTGCTTGTGATTTAGGAAGCTCGTCGGGAACGACGAAAGAGAAGAGGGAGAAGATCGCCCGACGATGAAAAATGTTGGCGAAACTTGAAACGATGAAAAATCGCCGCCGCTACAGCGTGGGCGGCCTGAGAATTCGCGAACTCGCGTTAGTCGGATGAACTTCGCCGGCGAGTTGGCGAAATATCCCGTCGTTCCCTCCATGAAGCGATGTATCTTCGTTCGTTCACGAATACTCTCAAAGACGCTTCGCGGACTTCTCTCATGCCGGATTCCATGCTGATATTTACCGATGATCGGTGATACCTCGCATCGGGGACTCGCGAAAACACGGCGAGAAAAAGCGTCCTGGATTTGATTCACTGTATCTTTCCGGGAGAGTCCGAAAGAAGAGGAGAACGAAGGACGACGATTCGCAAGAAGAAGAGACGAGGAGATGCTCACCTGATGGCGTTGAATATCTCGTGGAAGCCGGTACCCTGGTGGCTGGTGACGTCGCAGGTCGGCAAGGGATGCAGCAGGGGTAGTCGGTGACACAGCACGCTGTCGCTATTCCTCTTACTGCTGCCGTTGCTGTCGCGATCCCGTTCATTCTGCGGCAGCGGCCCATTGCCGGTGCCGGGCGCTGGACCTAAGCCCAGTCCCAGTGGAAGACGTGGCAAGGTGGCAGGTCGTGTGAGGCTGCCATAAGCGGCCAAAGCACCCCTCGGCAAGGACGAGTAGCAACGGTTCAGCGGTAAGGTGCCGAGGGTGCTGGAGGCGCAGCCACTGCTGCCCGAACCAGAACCTGAACCTGCGCACAGAAGATTTGATGAAATCGAGCGTCATCGGAGAACGACGTCGTCGGGACCGTCGGCGTATAAATATCTTGGCCCCGAATGAAGGCACGTGTTTTTTGTGCCGACGTTTATCCGACCTATACAAAGAGAAATTCTGGATCAGTAGCGATTATGTCTCCTTCAAAATATTTTCTTTCGGAAGCCACAACTTTCTTCCAGCGTTGCTCTCATTTTCAATTTTTGAATTCTGCTTCTGGAATAACTGCCTCGTCGCATTTTATCACACACCTCAAATCTCTTTCTTTTCAAAGACGATTTCAATTTCGGGAACAGCTGTATAAGTTAAATTCTCTCTCTCTCTCTCTTTCTCTCTCCCTCTCTCGAATATAATAAAGTACATTAATATCCTTTAACGAAATAGTTTAAAATAAATATGACGTATCGAAATGAGTAATGTAGCACGCTGTTTCCTTTGCAATCGCCTTGAGAGAAAAGTTAAATAGGCACACGTAAAAACGTTTTACGCGAGAGAAGGTAAAGGAGAGTCGATGTGAGAAATTGAAAAAGTGAAAGACGGAGTTTATGGAAGTCGATTCGCTTCTTTTTCACGGACAACGTGACGACGACGCGTAACTTTTTATGGAGCCCCTCAATTTCCGCACTTGTTTTATCGATAGTAACCTTACTCTTTACCGACGATATATAGGGTATAGATGATGGTCGTTGCCGCCGATGAATTTGTTTAGAATTTTGTTCGCGGTGGGAAATATATCGTGATGAAATTGAGCAGTTCCGACGAGAACGCACTAGAGAAACTTCTTTCTCTCTGTCAAATTCGGGCGAATACATATATATTTGATATATTTTTTTAATATTAATATATAAGTTATTAGAGATGAAATTAATGCGTCGAATATTCAATAAACAACTCTTATTGGCCAATCTTTCTTACTACAGTTGAATACGTTCAGAATCCATATATATATCGCACTTAATGTTGTATATAATATATGCAATTTTATAATATTATATAATATTAATTATATAATATTAGACTTGACTAATGAACATCATCAAATTTTATCTCTCAGATCTATCGCGATTCAAGTAACTTAGAAAAGAAGAGAAAAGAATAAAACGTCGTTTTAAAAAAATGACAATACGTAATAGGAAGACGTTACTGGAATAAGAAGCTGAAATACGTATCAATACTCTGAAAAACAAGCATGCACGCGACGATCCGATTTTCAGATAAGAGATATAGACATGGTAAACATAACGCAACTCGAAATTTTATATACCTCGGCAAGTCCAGAAATCTTCCCTTCCTTTTTTCGTTTTTCGCGAGATTCCTCTCGTTACCAGGGTAACGATGTAGCCTCGGCTCGGCGGATTCGCGTTACGTAGGATTTTATCGATGTCAAACTCGCGTAGTCGCGGTATAACGTGTTCTGTAATCTGGCCCGCTATAACGCGATCAATCAACGGTAGCCACGTAGCGCGGTTTATCCAAGCGGAGTACACCACGTACGATAATCGTGCCACCACGCTGCAACGAGCGCTACGTAATTACTAATTAAATTACGGAATGTTTATCGCTATTTCGAGAGGTATCGCGTCCGTCTGGAATTGTGCGGCTGAATGCGGCGCGTTCGCCGCATACCTACCCTTTTCCTCTCCTCCCCCTTCTCCGTATAATTCCGCGTTAGGTCTTATTGTGGCTATTAACTACACTGTTCCTCAGGAAAAAACGGTGCATCGTTAATTATATAGTTCTTTTTATACGATATTGATCTTATCTTTATGTGAAAAACATTTCAAATTCTCCGTGGTACTGCATCCAACGATATCCTTTGATACAACATTCGCGAGATATATGACCCATAGGAAAAGAATGTTATAACTGTAGCTTATAAACATTCATTTATTTATACTGTGTTTCCTAATAGTGCAGGAATAGATTGTTGGACAAAATAAAGTCAGAGTCTAAGGAACATATAGTAAATTAAATTTAATACTAGATTTAATAGTAGATTTTAGTTTTTAAAATATAAATAGCACATTTGAATCGGAAGAATAAGAAATTATGGTAGAATAGGATATGTCATAGAATTCTACTATGATAATTTGATAATAATTTTATGTAATTTTTACTACAAAATTCTCTCCGCGTGAATATATTTCCCTTTAATTTTATACGATGTAAAATTTCCTTCTTACACGTATTTCTAATTATTCGTGATATTACACCTAATGATATCCTTTGATGCTACATTCACGATACGCGAACTAACAAGCGTAATCTCATCGGTTGATGAAAAGACGTCGGAAAGGGAGACTCTAATTAGTAAAATCGTGAAACTCAAAAGATAACTTTTTCTCCTTTAATTCTTTCCTTCTTACTTACGCACATAACGATGGTCTTCTTTCTTCACGGTTGCATACGAAATGCGTTTGGATGAACGATTATTTCAGCAAACTCCTCTCAGCGAATACAAACGTTTGGATTCTCAAAATTTTTGACAGTTTTTGTTCCTTCCGCTCTGTCTCTCTGTTCGGTAATGTTAACATTGCTCCGAGCGCTCGTCGGAGACCGTCCAGGTGAGCTCTAATTCGGATTCGAGTGTAGTTAGCAAACTCCTTTTTGGACGTGATCTCGTGCGAGGTCGCGTATATACGTGCCGAGGAAAATTAGATGTCGCGCGGAAATTCGAGGAAAGCGGCCCGCCAGCACCGCGGTGAATATTAATTCAAAAGAGGGAGAGAGAAGGCAGCTCTTTAATTCCGTTGTTCGAGAGTCATCTCAGTACTCTGAGTTATCTAATGTTCGTATGATCGATCTCTCTTCTACTTCCGGAAATCGATTTTCAAATTTTCACCAAGGTTGAAGGAGTTACTTTTTAAAAATAACTGGCACTCGTTACGTCGAGGAACTTTACATTTATAGATCCTTTGGTGCTCAACAAGTTTTGTTCCTTTTAGATTTTTTGTGCGAAAATACACTGAAAAAGGATTTGATAACAGATATTAAAATTTGGTGAATATTCATGAATCAAATATTTGATTACTGCAACCAAATAATTTATACTGTATATATAGTACTGTAGTTCCGTATATTTAATATATGAAATTACATTTTTTGGTTACAGTAATCAAATATTTGGTGGGTAAATATTCACCAAATTTTAGTACTTATTAGCAAAGCCTTTCTTCAATGTAGGAATATACACAGGATAAAGCCAGTTTCTCCTCTTGTTATTCGTTATTGTTTATTGGTCACACGCTGTCACCTGTGGATCTCTCCCGTATATATTATGTAATGTGTCATAACAGAAGCAAATTACGATAATTTTATTTACCATGGTGGGCCACATAGTTCGTTCGTCTTAAATTCGATCCGACGGATGACGGAATAGTCGGTTGGGTTTCAGTGCCGTATCGTTTCCTTATTCAAAGCCAGACGTTCGTCTCCGGTTACGCTCGTAACGTACAGGTACAAGGCGTGTGCTTAGCCTAACACTTCGGATTAATTACACGCCGTCTACCCGGTGACGAGAATGTCGTGTCTGCGCGCCGACAATGAGGATTTCGCTCGCGACGAATGGTATCTCGTCAGTGCGTAATTTTCTCTCTCTCCCAAGTTAAGCTGTTAATAAGTGTTAACTTTTGTCCGCGAACTTTGCATGTATTACTCTCACGTTAAAACAGTTGGTCCGTGAGGTGTCGGATTTTCAATACCGTCATCAAGAGGGCCACTTTCATAAATTTACCAAACAAAATTATTTTTCAATAAATTTCCGAAAATATAAATATGTTATTTGACGTAAAAATATTTACTATTTGAAAAACTAAGCAATCCTGCTTGTTGAATCAAACATTTGTTTGTTTGCCTTGTTACAAAGGACAAATTTATTTCAATTGAAGAAATGTTATTAAATTCAATGAAATATTTGTCTCTGTATAGTTTTTTCTTGACAATCCTAAAAATAAAATTCAGAAGAAATTAAAAACAGAAATAGGACGTTAAAAATACGTATTTTAAAAAATATGTACAAATATCTCAGTTCACAGACATTTAATTTTTTCCAACTACACAGACAGTATTTGCATTAATATCGAGTTAAAATTCAAAAAGATTCCTCAAAAAAAATGGTTTTACGGACCAACTATCTTGACGGTCAGAGTACATTCTTAGATACGCACGACGGAAACGCGTCGTTTCCTCGTCGAGAATGGAATTGATGGACAGCGATACGACGGGTCACTAGGATTTCGCGTATAATGGCAAGTTACGTCGTAAGTGGAACGTAAAATCGCGTTACCTCGCGCGATCATTCGGATGACGATTAATCGGCGAGATAGCGGCTTCGCGATTTCATTAATAATCACGATGGTTCGCGACGCGTGAAGTGATTATGACGATGTTGATTGGATCGACGCATTATGGCGCGAAATATGTCATATTAAAGCGCGCCCGTCGAACAAAGCGCTCCGCGAGTTTACGCTAAGCCGTTGTTTCATACGAGCTCACTCCTCCGCCCTGTTGATCGCTCAAGAAAAATTCAATTCGTCGATTATAATATATATGTATACATATAACTGTTTTGTGCGAACCGTGTTCGTCGTGTTGACCATTGTGCGAAAACGCTAATAGTTGCGAGGAAAATTACAGAAATCACGAGAGATTATATGAAGTTTCCGTGATATCGAAAGTCTTTCGTGAACTTTTTATTCTCATACGTTGGTATATTTTCACGTTTAAATATATATGACTGCTCTATAGTTGGTCGATTGTGGTACATTTTTATCACGCGTGTATTAACGACGATAACGTTGCGTTAGAAAGCGTGGTGAGAAGTGAACATCGGGAGATGTTTCATGCGTAGGAAACAGCGCGCGTCGTTCATACCGAAAATCCCACATTCGTATGAAAAATTTAATCAAGCACGGCTGACAAATGAAACGCATTATTATATTAACGATGATTTCGTCGATATATTAGAGATTGATTAAA